TTTTTGTAGACTGAAAATTGTCCTTTTTTACATCACTGTAATCTTATTTTGAAGTCCTTTGTATTTTATTCTCCAATTTCTAAACTAAAAAAAATACACGCATTGAGCGGATATATCATTGGAAATAGAAGCTGTTATTCCTTTGTGAAGTTCAGTCATAGTTTTGATCAGATTTGATTTCGCTCTGCCTAGGAGCTTAGATAAGAGAGTTCATCCCTAGTTGGCATGTGAAATCCATTATGAAGTAGGATTGGTCTTAGAATCAACAATAAAACCGTAGTAATGCTTAATTTTCTTAAGCAAGAGTGCTTTATCACAAATCCATGCAATTCTACATTATCATGTAAAGCCTAAGGGGACAAGGAGTGCTCTAGAGCAATTCTTTTTTTCTTCCTCTCTTTTCATCATAACTATCACTTTCAGCAAGCTTCAAACCAGTCCAAATTTGCATGCTTAGATCTTTGCTAGGCCATCAACACCTTTCTTTCCTCCAAATCCTTTATCATTTTCAGTCCAAAATCTGTGCTTGCTTTCAACCGGGGAACTACAGAATATTTCTATAAACTCACCCAACAGAAGAACAAGAGAGAGATCTACTACTAAATTTGCTTAATCTCTTTACACAAAACTAGCAAAATATAAAAGCCTAAAGCATCTAAAATAACAAGCCTTTACAAATTGCCTTTGGGTAAATGTATGAGAAAGACAAATTATATAATAAGTTGCAACATTTTATCTAAACTCATCTTAAATGCATAACATAATAACCTCAAATCCCACAGGAGAGACTGCCCGTTACACTGCAAATGACTTTCCCAGGATGATTCTTCTGACTGCACCACAATGACCATATCGGAAAGCGCTTTGGCTTGGTAATGCTTGTCAACTAACAACGGATCACTGTGAATAAACCAAAAGATAGGCACTTCAAGAGTAGCNGGGGGAGAGAGAGAAGGAAAAAGAGAGAAGACACGGTTATGCCCCGAGACTCTTAAGTCTAATGGTAAGAGTGCAGCATGTGATGTATGGGTTAGGCGCACGTCACGGGTTTGAAACCACTGCATACGAAAGTCTAGTATTTAAGTGGAGAAGGATAGAGGTGGGCCCATTATGCACTGAGTTTCGAACCATGCATTGCAGGCCCTCTGGGATTTCTTAGTTATCAAAAAGAGCAACCACATGGTTATTACATGTTTTTAAGAATCAATACATAAAGTACAAGCTGAAACAAAACACATGACTACTGAGACAATTACTAACCATATAATAATGTACTTGTTATCCTCCAGCCCACCCCAGATATAAATCTACAGGGAAAAAACAAATACTTCCATTTTCTAGTTTATCATTCTAGTCGGTCGTCTCTCCTTTCCATCTCGTTTCCCTCTCAGACGGGGTCAGATGTAAGGAGAGTAGCAGTGTCTTTAACAAAACACTAATTGTAACCTGTGATCACAAAAAAACTCACCTTTCAAAGAACCATGATCATTCAACCTCTGCAACTGATGCTGGAGAATGGAAGAATCCAGATAGGAACGGACAGTTTTCCTATATGTTCCATTCACAAGCAAAAGGGGAACAGCTGCTGCTCTCCTAGCCACTGAAAATGCCATGGCCAAAGCAGGATCCTCTGACAGTGGCAACCTGTGAAACAGAACAGACTGAAAATAAATATGTGCCACATATCCAGAGAGGAAGTAGGGATTTGTGGCCACAAGTATGCGTGAACACATATTTAGAACCGAATCATATAATTAAAGAGAGTGAGTGAAATCCATGAAATGGAAATGAATAGACACTTATGTAGACATATAATTCATACAATCTGTACTGAACACTCTTACCTTTAGACACAAACATATAACTAACCTACATTTAGCTCGAGTCAAAATATAGAGAACGCTATTTATCTGGAAGGATCATGGATAAATACATACATGTGAGGACTGAACATCACTTCCTGAGAAGATAGCACCAATGACGAAAGACCATTCATGATAGTCTTGAGGTCAACAGGTAACTGCTTAATATTTCTAAATTTCTGCACAAAATCAGAGAAAAACATAAGTGCTAAGCAATGCCCTTAGTTTTAATTTAAATTTAACATCATACCTCCTGTGTGATAAAGAACAGCTGAAAAGATATTTTCTCGTAGTAGTGGAATGCCCCATCGGCAAGTGATGGAGAAATTATGTGTCTCATTGACCCCCATAAGGTTGCCCCCAAATGTGCAAGGAAAGTGTCACGAGCAACTGTATAGTTTTTGTAATCCTGCATGACCACGGTTTTAAAGACTGATGATTATTTTCTTCATTACCATGTTTAACCATCATCTCATGTGAAAGAAACAATGCTACTATAAGCACGGGAAATGTTTCGGATGAAAGAACTATATCAAGACAGCAACAATAGGTTTCTGATAGTAGTTACTGAATACGTCTTTGCAAAAGTAAGATACCTCATAAGAATCACTGAACAGGTTCCAGTTCTCCATCCTTTTCAATGCATCTATAGCCTTTCTCCTATGGCTTTCTTCAGAACCTTCACCCTCAAAAGACTGCAGCTCATTTTTCAAATCTTGCATTCTCTCGTCAAGCTCTGGTATCAGATTTACGCTCGTAAATTTCTTCAATATTAAGATAAATTTATGGAAAACAGTTTGAAACTTGTCAAAGGTGGGTGTTAAGTGGCATTTTAAAGAACAGGAAAAACCTAGACAAAGCCAACACCGGATACCAAGATAATCAGATAGATACCAAGATTTAATAGAAAACAAACTAAACAGAATAAAACCAAAAAAAATAGGTGTCCAACAACGATTTTCACAGAAACCATGCAGGATTCCATAACGAATGACATAGGATTACCTTGGCAAAGAGCAAGCTTGACCTTCCTTCCCTTGCAATGTTTGAAAGCAAATAGTTCATATATATCTATTTCAGCTAAAAGAATATCAATGGCTTGATGATCTTTCTGGACCTACATAACAGAACAGTGAAGAACAGACTTCAGCACCCATACATTCATAATGGAATCCGACCGCCGCCAAAGTCAGAAGGTAAAGAAAAAGAAAAAAATGCTGATAATAGAAAGGGGGTTTCATAAAATTTCTACTTTCAAAAGTAGAAAGGACTAGAAGACAAAACAAGCAAGTATCTTAGTTTGGCAAAAGCAGAGTATTTCGATATCCAAGAACTTAGGCTCCCCATTCTACTTGACAGAGCACTTGTAATATTCATTATCCTAGAATAATCTCCTGACCATTAAACCTACAATATTTTTCCTAAGTTGAAACTTCATTGCCTTAGACAACTCCTTTCTAGATAGAAAAAAGCACAAGCAGAAGGGAATGAAGACCCCATACAGTTACTGATTGTTCTGTATCTCATTATCCTTTTGTTTAGTTAAATCTTGCTTTTCGTACATCAAGATGTATCTTGATATCCTTGTTCCATCTACATAATATTTTTATTGGTTATTGATCCAATGAAAAACTGGTGAAAAACTTTACCAGTTTCTCAATCTGTAATAGTCCATTTCTGCAGTTCCCCGATTACCTCATCACTATTCATGTGAAAAACCATTCTCTTTCTCAGAAGGCAACTTAAAAAGAAGATATGGCCATGTCCTTTGTTAGTTCAGCTATTTTTCCCCAGGGCTTTTCTGCCCACAACAGACTTTTTGTTCTACAAAGTTACTCCTAAGATTTCTCACGACCAGTTAATTAACTAATAATATTTAAAAGCAGAAACATTGACATGATTAAAGAAAATAAACTATTCTGTATATCATACATCACCAAACACCGCAAACTTCTCTTGAATAGCCTCTTGCAACAGATCTTCAGCTTCTTCTTCTGAAATTTCTGAAGAAAACAAAGGGCACAATATAAGAATGCATAGGACCGTGTTTTGAGAACGCGCAAACCTGAAAACATATTAAACAGAAATTGAGAAGGGGAAGACTCCTATATTCATTATCTAAGAATGGATTAAGACCTGTTTCATGGAACTAAAATGCTATGTTTCAAAGAAGCTTGCTGAAAAGTTATAACTTATAATGTTGAAACTTCTAATTTTTCGTGGTACTCTATCATATTCTTTCTCCATGTCAATGAACACCGTGTGTAGATCTTTCTTCCTTTCCCAGTAAATTCCCATCAATCTTCTTAGCAAGAATTTAACCTCCGTTGTAGATCTACCGGGCATAAATCCAAAATGGTTCTCTGTCACTTTAGTTGCATTGCTAAGTCTACGCTCTATCATTCTTTCCCAGAGATTCATTGTATGAGTCATGAGTTTAATCACCTAGTGTTTTTCCCTCCGCTGGGATTGGAACCTAAGACCTCATAATTCTCCTCCCACCTTATTGACCACTAGGCCACACCTTTGAGTGCAATAACAACTACTACTACTAGTCTACTACCACACTTCAATCCCAAACTAATTGGAACCACCTATATGAATTCTAAATATCCATTCCGCTATTTGGGCTGTCATATTATCTTGATAAACTAATAAAAGCATCAAAGAGAAAAATAGCAGAAGCACGTAGATCAACCAAGACCATTGTGCACTCAACAGAAAAAAACAATCACCTCCAAAACATCGCCAATCAACTTCAAAAATGCAGTCTAAAGTGTACAGATCTATCTACGAAAGAACTTTCTTGGGCTCCTATTTGCTTGGCACGGAAGGGCATTCCTAAAACCTCCCTTCCTCTTTGGAACACCATTCCTGACTGTTATATGCTGGACCATTTGGAAAGAAAGAAATGATAGGATTTTTAGGACAAGAATGACATTGTACTTAACCTTAAACATTAATGTATATCCTTGCTTAGTTTTTGGTGCAACATGGCAGCGGCAAACTTGTTAGAGCCTGAAGCTAAGTTTATCTCTTCATTACACTCTTTGAGATGCACATATCTTTTCCTTTGTGGATTTACCTTTCTCAGCTTCAGCTGGTTTACATCAATAAATCCTACCTTATAGCAGTGTTATCAAAAGCGAAAAGCACACAAAATCTCTAAGGTACATTGGGGCTTTAAGCGCAAATAAAGCGTAGGCTTTAATGAAGAAAGGCGCAAAATGGAGAAAAAATAATATGCATGTGTAATCCAAGACTAATAATTAGTATAAGCATGAATAACAAATATATGGATAAAGAAACTGAATTTTTTTACAATAAAGTGAATTATCAATTGTTTAGGTTTGCCTCTTTAGGATTACGCTCATTGGCAAGGAAAAGTATGCGTTAGAACATTGATGACAAGGCTAAAGCGCCCACTAAGCAATGCGAAGCGCTCAACATGTTTTGAGCCTCACTTTAGGGCTTAAGTGAGTGTTTGACAACACTGCCTTATAGAAAAAAGATCTATCTTTTTGATCAAGCAAAAAAAAGGATCTATCTACCAAAGCCTCAGCAATGAACGAAAACATGTGTCTACAGCTCTACCTGCAACTGCACCTATTGTTTTCTCCACGTTTGGTAAGCTTAGTTCTGTGCGCACGCCTTCTCCACCCACAGCAGGCCCCCATGAAAAAGGACCCGCAGTCAAATCAATAAAGGCCCACCTGATATGAAAATGAAACAAAAATCAGAAATATGAAAGGGCACTAAGAGTGCAGGGAAGTAAGAAAGATTTTAACCTGTTATTTCCAATCCATGTATCAGTGAGACATTCAGCATGAAAACCGCTAAATTCCCCAGCTTTTAACTCTCTCTCAAAACGAAGCTTCAAATCTCCATGTTTCCCATTCAGAAACTTGAAAGGAACAAAGTATCATAATAACTAGAGTTAAATGGAGGATTCAGATAGTCCTTGATGTAGTATTCAAAGAAATACTTTCCATTATTTGAGGCACTTTTCTTCTATAGTGATGGGGCATATCCAGGGGGAGGGGGGAGAGAATAAAGTGGTGCAAAGTAATACCTGCATAACCTTGTTCTGAACAACCTCAGCCATGTCCTTCCCTTGAGATAGCCTGTCAACATTGTTTAATACATCTAGGCATCTATTATACCATTCTACCTGGTTTTGTTAAAGAAAGAAAATAGTTTCAGAACACACATCAGCACATGAAAGTACGAGAACCACAGGTTTTCTGTGCATCTCTAGGCCAATTGTGTGGTCCATTTAACTGAGTAAGGAAATGCTGTTTATCACTAAAAAGAAGCATAATGAAAGCTTAAGCTATCAAGATAAAAGAATGTTACAAAATTGAAACATGTATGATATGGAGATCTCAGAGAAACAAGCATGTGGACAAAAACTTAAACCACCAAAACTGTGCATTTGTTACAGTTATACTCTTACAACATACTCACTTCAACCTTATCAAAAAAGAAAAAGAAAAAATGCCACACTCAGTTTAACTAGTTTCATGAAATACATGGGGGAAAGAAGGAGCATTCGATGCATAGCTGCAAGCTTGTTGCCACTTGCCAGCACATTGAATTTTTTACAACCAAGAGAAATTATGTTGCTTTGACAACAATAACAAGCAGCACACATTGCATGATGAAATTGATTGCACAAACGCAATTTAAAAAGGAGAATAAGATATGACACCAGCAGTTTATTTCCAGGCACTGATATAGGTCACTGGACTACAACAAAAACAAATCTTCCAAGATTAGACAGTTGGTATCATTCAGTCTACCTGAACAACATCTTTCCATCCAGCAAAAGCAGTATCTGCTTCATTTATAAGTTGGCACTGGCATATATTCTAGAATAAAATATTCAATGCCAGGCTGCAAGCCTCTAATAAATTACAGAACAAATTGCATCAGCAAGACATTTCATATTTAGATTCCTTGCGAATCTATCTCTAACAAGAATTCACTGTCTCATAACTAGTTATGGAAGAGCATTATTTTTGTGTTGTGACAGGTGAAGCCAACATAGGCGCATACACGATCAGTATATCTACATTGGGTCTCTATAAATACCATCTCTGATAACATGCTTGAAATTTAAAGTCCCCGATAATATTAAGGGAGTCAAGAGTAGAGATAACTTACTGTATCTGTATCTTCTGTGACAGTCCAGGAAAACTTTGCCATTGGATGCTTTGCATACAATGGTCTTGTCATCTTTTCAAGAGCTGTCACAGTTTTTGTACAAATAAGCACCAGTCATTAGTTAATGCTAATCAAAGGACATGTAAATACCAATCCTTCTTCAGTTAAAAAATTTTAACACAGATTTACCTACCAAGAATACTTTCTGATGCTCTTCCTGAGTGAAGAATTTTCGACTGTAACTCCTTATTCTGTATTAAGTATCAAATCAGTGAAAATGTTTCCCAAAAAAAAAAGATCTTGACGAATGAAGAATCATTGAAAGCAGTATATGATCTAAAAGCATGAAGCTGATGATCGATGTCCAATGAATATAAATGGGTATTTGAAATTACAATTTTACCTCCTTAAGAAAGTTAATTTCGCTCTCGGATAACCCTTGCCTGCATGATTTAAGGAACATCCAATCAGATGAATTAGAAAATAGAAATAAAGAGACATGCAAATAAGAAAAGCTATTTAGCAAAGAAATTGTCAAAGTTCAAACAAGTGACGAGACAGTAGAGACCGAGTTTCTATCTACTGTAAGATTGATTGAAACAAAAATGACCCAAAGATTGATCAAAACTTGTAGACACTTAGAGGCCAGTTTTAGATTTCGAAAACCCTTGTATGCACATATGATGTTGAATTGACATGGGCCTGCAATGCATTAGATCAGAGCTTTGCATAAAGCCAACTTTACGCACTCTACTTGCTCTAATACTTTAGTTTCAGATCTTACTAAACCTTCAGAAAAACTCCATCAGTTCCCAAAATAGCTTGACCTACTTTTCCTTTTGCCCATTAGAAGAAACTGACCTCGTTTTGAACGGAAAGGTCCTTCCATCAATAAGTTCAAGCATATTGTTTATACTTGCAAGTTATTTCTCTTTAAAGGAGGTTGTTTAGCTCAAAGTCTCATCTTGTCATTAACTGCTCCACTACTTCACATTTCGTAAAGCACTTCTCTAACTCAATACAATCTACTGAAACATTTTAACCGTAGTTTCTATGATAGAAAGCAAGTCATATTTTTTGGAACAAATGGATAATTTATCTGTGTGTATGTGTGCTACTAAATAAAAGTAACATCTTTTTTCCTTTTTCCTTTACCTTTTTATGGAATAATATATATCAATGAGAATAACTATCTGTATAAGTACTAAAAGAAAATTTCAACTTCAACTTGCTCATATCAATTGAGTGTCAGGATTTCAAGTTTAGACTACGTCAAAAACAGTCCACCTTCCAAAAATCAATTTTTCCATATGAAACCACGTAAAAGTGCAACTTTTTACACTTCAACAAACTTGAATAAATTGAATTCCGTGCATACTTTAACTCCAATGCAATCAATTAAACCAAGTAAATGTTTTCCTGAACAAGTGAGCATGGCAAGTCAGTACAGGTAATAAAGTGATTACGTATTGACAACAACTTTGATGGCCCAATATTAATTATTAATAGAAGTAAATAGGTCACCCATGCATCTACACAGCAAAAGAAGAGCTGTCAACCCTAATAAATAGAGCATCATGTACACAAGGCTCCAGGATGGCAATACTAGGCGATTGTTCAACATCTCAAACACATATGCTCTAGGTCAAGAAAGAGAAACTGACATAAGAGCACAATGTTTACCATCTCTCAATATTAACTCAATTGTCAAACCTAATCCTACACGCAAATATCATCTAAATGTGTAGATAGAAAGACTGATATATATGTAAATATATGTGCACATCCATGCATGTGTGTGTGTTCCTGAACGGAGGGTCTACCAGAAACATTCTCTCTGCCTTTTTAAAACGTATGGGTAAAGTCTGAATATACACTACCCTCCCCAGACCCCGCTTGTGGGAATACATTGGGTTTTTTGTTGTTGTTATTGCATGCATGTGTGTGTGGTCTTATTGTAGTAATCAATGTTTGATCAGTTTACCCTTGTTGCTACAACTTCAAAACATTAATAGACTTGTCCTCTGTCATTAAATTCGGACATATTCTTCTAATAGTTAAATATGGATTTTAATTATCTTCGTCTAATTCTGTAACTGAAACCTTATTAACTATTTTGCATCAGTATTTGCTATTGGAAAGATTATACAGGTTTAGATTGCCCAAATCTCTTCAAATTTCCCTGATCCTTTGTTGTCTCTCTGCTGGATTGAGCAAAGAGGCTGCTGGAGTGAGCAAAGAGGAGGCAATTTGCATCTTTATTTCTGATTCACTGCATTAGTGCAATACACGTGTGAAAACCAGCATAAAACTTTCAACTTTCAGAAGAAAAACCTGTATCCATATTTGACTCTTTTTCCATTGCGCCTGGGATTCAAAACGAAGATGTTATAGGCATCTCCCAGTTGTAAATACTCCACGAGGCTGGTAAAGAAAACATCCATCATATCCATGTCAACTTGCCATAGAACAGTTCCATCATCTCTGAAAACACGTACATGTATAGAGGTGAACCATTGAACAAATACTGCTAGGAAATAATAATGGTTTCACAGAAAGTGTTGCAGAGAAAATCATGAATTCTCTAATATAACAGAGAACTATCAACTACCTGTTATCAGACATATCATCCTTGCGGCCAAAGACATCAATGGCACGCTCAAAGATAGATGTGACCTTTTCACCCATTTGAATGGCATGAACGGAGAAACTGCACAGAGATTTGAATACCTTATCAGATCCGTCTACAATGCATTAACTATTTTATACTCAAGTAGATTGTACACATGGGTTTTTGGAAGAAGGGACACAACAAGTACTTGTAGTTTATGTGACTGATAAGAGGCAGATGGTGACGTTGTTCTCTATCAATGCTAGTTTTGTAAAATGGTGTCAAAACTTCTCCTACTTGAGGAATCCTTGTATGTTCAAAGACGTGATCAATCTTTGTGAACCAGCGCTCTAGTTCCTCTGGTTGTAGCTTAAATTCTGAGCAGAAACCACATCGCAGTAGTAAAGAACAATATAGTCAATGTTACCATATAGAACTATAACAAAGAGAGCAGTCATCTTTAATTGTGAAGGAACAATTACATAATATCTTTGTTTTTTGAGAAGGTAAAGTAAAGGAACGATTACATACCTTGATTCCCCTTTCCTTCAAATCCAACAAAAATGAAATTCACAGGTACTGGAAGGTACATGGAATCAACTTCCATAAGCTTCAAATAGTTTGCTATAGTACCTGCAGTGCAAGAGAACAATAATTTATTTCACTCTACTTATCAAAAGATATACTCCGTCCGTCCTATCTTAGAACGTATTAACAGTATTCAAGAACACATCAAATGTATAGTTCTTCAAGGCTTTTAGGAATATAAGCTAATATGATGGCTCATTTGAGTTTTGTTTGAGTTATATAGTTATCTCAATTGGGTAGCATAAGAGCATCCAAATGGGCTTATAAACACCTTGAGCCACTCCACATATTGCCTTAAAGTTTCGAGTTGAATGCTCATATTCTTCCGCATAGTATCAGGCAAGCGAAGGTCATGAGTTTGGAGTTTCATCCCACCTACTGGTGAAAGTATTTCCATTAGCTTGGTCCAAGGAAAAACAAGCTCCCACATGAAGGGATGTTGTAGACAAATAAATAAACATCTATCTAACAACTTAATCTTTTAGATGAGGTGATAACACAATTTCACAATATTAGAGTCAATATTTGATAAGCTCATTCACACTCCAGAAAATCACGTGTACCCAAAATCAGATTACACGCGCAAGAGGTTGAGTTATGTCCCACATGGGTTAAGTAAGGGTTCCGAAGGGATTTAATGGTATTAGACTACTTCACCCGTCGCCTCAAAATTTTCAGTTGGAAGATCGAATTCTTTCACCTTGCTTTTGTAAATAATTCTTTTGCCTGGTTGAATTATATAGTTGTCCCATATAGGTTGTGTAAGAGCTTCCAAGAGGTTGACAAAGGTCTTAAACTACACCATTAAAGTTGTAGGTTGGACGCTTAAATCCTTTCACGAGATATCAGGGTCAACCTTTGGTAAGTCATCCGCACACCTATGAGTCTGCATTAAAACATTACGTCTGAACTCTAAAATTTACACATATTCGAGGGTGTTGAGTTACATTGTTGTCCCAGTAGGTTGTCTTGGACTACTAACCCACTGCCCTAAAATTTTGGGTTGAAGGCTTAGATTTTCTGCAAATTCAATCGTCATGAAGGTATTGCGCAAATGTATTGCAGACTTGCAGCCAACAGTCCATTTCAGCTAACAATCAAGCACCAGGTAAAGTATCTGAAATAATGCTCTCCAGAGGGTGTGCTATTTGAAAATCATACAAGCTCTTCTCGACAGAATTTTCTTAAGAAGCCTCCACGGTAAAAACTTATTAACCATATTTTCCAATCTCCAAAGACGGAGAAATGAGACAAAATATTCTCCCGAAGATATTATGAACTTGAGTACAACTTTTTTTTTAAGAAAGATAAACTTGAGTTAATTCTATTCTTGGTACAGAAATACTTCACTACACTCTCTAAGTTTAGTGCTAGGTATTATATGATAGACGAATACCAACCAAAATAAAAGGAACTCTAGAACAGTTATAAGGCAGCTAAAGTCCAACATATCCACAAGATGAGTGTCGCAGTCTCGCAGAGATGCGGACACTACGATAGTTATGTGGTCATACAAGATCAAGTAGGATTAAAGATAACCACATTCGGCAGAAGGTGCAAGTAGCACATAATGAGGATAAAATAAGAGAAGGTCATTTATGGTGGTTTGGTCATGCCCTGCTTTGATCCCCAAATGCACGAGTCTGTAAGTGCAAAACCATGGTAAGAAGGTGTTAGAAGGGAATGAGGTAGACCTAAAATCACACAAAAGGGAGTTGTCCTCAAAAACCTACAATCTCTCGAAATCCATGCAAACCTAACCAAAAAAGAGAACATAGTGGAAGAAAAGAACATATATAGGCAATACCAAATAGTTGAGGATATAAATGTTTTAGTCATGCTAGTACATTTACTTTAGGTCCTCTATTTTCTTTTAGTCCTATCAGATATTTACATGGTAGTCAACTAGTGGAAATATAGGGAATGCCTGACAATTTTTATTGTTATTTCTATTTTGCATAGTGTTGGCATGAGATGAGCTTAAATGGAGTGACATGACCAATGAGGAATCATATAGTCGACCCAAACTTGCTTCGGATTGAGGAATTGTTGTTGTTGCGCTTTACCTTATTTAGATTTCAACCTCCCATCAGACTTGAGATTCAGGCTAGAATGAAGAGTTGTTGCACTTTACCTTATTTAGATTTCAACATCCCAAACCCTCCCCTCCCATCAGACTTGAGATTCAGGCTAGAATGAAGAAGCAATTTTTTTAAAATCATCTTGCATTCTCATTCAAAGTTGCATAATGAACATGTCAAAAGAAAAATATATGAGATGAAGGAACAACACAAAGATCCTACTAAGAAAATAAGCCAAACCATAATCGCCGTGCAGAAGGTTGCTTGAGTTGTGATGGTTTGGTTATGTCCTGCTATGCATCACATATGCACCGGTTCGCAGGTTAGTGGCTACTATGGTGAGTGTCTGAGTGAAGGTGGTAAAAGAATACGGGGTAGACCTAAAATCACATCTAAGGAAGTTGTCTCGAAGTACCTACAAATCCTTGGAATCAATGCAGATTTAGCTAAAGATAGGACATAATGGAAGAAAAAGATCAATATAAGTAATATCTATTAGTTGTGAGTAGGCTTTAGACTTGTAGGGAAATCCTTATGTTATTATTACAATTAGCCAATTACTATTATTTATATATATAATTAACTTATTTTTCACTTTTATTCTATTTGGTAAGAAGATGATAAGAGTTGAGCTTAAATAAAAAATATGAGGATTCATATAGCTGACCCCAACTTGTTTGGGACTGAGGTGTACTTGTTCTTGTTGTCTGACTTACTAAAACGGATAGTTCATGGGCAAATCCCCAGGATGGAAGTCCCAGATTTCCATTGAAGCTTCTTGTGGTCCTTCATACAAGTTTTTTAATATGCTATACAAAAACTGGTTACAACTTAAAGGACCACAAGTAGCTTCAATAGATAAATAGAAAGTAAATGCACAAAATTGTTTCATTGTCTCGGATGCTAAGTTAAAAAAGTATTTACCTTCTGAAGCTCTGACACAGAAAATTGAAAAGGGAGTATAAGTAGACATCGAAGGTAAACACAAAAAGAAAGTGAAAATTTTGGAGAACACAAGTACCTGCCTGGGTGTAATTGAGAATACTCATTTTTCCCGGATTAGATGTTTCCAGATCATCCAAATCTGCACCCATACATCATCATCGTAATGTAAGTTGAACAAGTCATCTTTACAATCAAACATACAGAAAAAACATCTATTTGCAGAACTTACCACCATGGATAACAGACTCGCTCCAGAATTTGCTCTTCTCTTTAAGGTTAAACAACGAAAATACCGATGACTTCCCTGTTTTACGATTGCCACCCGTAGAACCAAGTGAATTATCACTCAGGAACTGCCAATAATAAGAAGAATAATCAGTACCCTTTCTATAGTTCAACTCTTTGCAATGCAAGTGGGAATAAAGGGCTTTGAGAAAGTCATTGGTGCAAAGTGCAAAGTTGAGACAAAGTACAAATCATCACAAAAGTCAGCAAATATTTCCTGAAATATTGATACACAAAAAAGAAAATGAAGGAAATAATTGTTGATTCTACGATTCCCAAGAAAGTGCCAATTTATCAATATTCTCCTCCCACAACCATCTGTATCATGATTTTAGGTGTTAAACAAGTATACAGTGACTAGGCTATATGGAAGGAACAAAAATAAAGAGAAACAAAGAAGAGAAATATCTAATAAAACTGTTCATGGTTTAAACAATTTAAGGTCCATAGAAATGCAATACTAACATCTCAAATTAACACACTATGTAATGCTCCTGTCACGAAACTATAAGCTCATAATCCCGCATATTCTTTCTATAAAACCAAACCCCTTGTCCAAAAAATTAAGAACAGAATAGTTTGAATATGAAGTCATTATATTCACTTGTAACCTAAAGACTCAAGGATGAAGTGCCTCATTAGAATATCTATATGCTATTCATCCTTTCAAATGAACTTAACCCATTAATTCAAAGGCACATCCAGGATTTGAAGTTTATGGGTTCCTACAGCTACCTCAAATTAATACTACAATAATAATTGGGTTCACAGCCGAAGTTTTATAGATATTTAGTGTATTTCTATGTAGAGCCAGGGAAAAAGCTACTGGGTTGACGTGACCCCGTACTCCGACCCCCTAGATCCGTGCCAGCCCATTATAACCTCTTTTGCAACGAGTGGAGGGAGCTTCCACATTTAACTCGGAAGTTAGCATTCGAAACCACTGGGCGATCATTCAGTTAGAGAGGGTAGTTACTCACAATTTTTTTTTTGTGACCAGGAGTTTCATAGGTTCAAGCAGTATAAACAGCCTCTTGCAGAAATGCAAGGTAAGGTTGCATACCATAGACCCAGTGTGGTCTGTCCCTTCCCCAACTCAACGCATAGCGGGAGCTTAGTGCACTAGACTCCTCTTTTTTTACTCATTATATTGTGATCACGAAAAAGAGCATATAAACATTCCATTCATCCATATCTCATAGAACCATTTTTGAGAGTGTATACATCTTAAGAACAAGAACCAATAATCAAATAAACAGAAAAAAGATATCAGCATACAAGCATTCGATTCGCTGATGAGGTTATCAAGAAGACAAGAAGGCACATTTGGGCGCTAAAATCAGAAAATTCAGGATCATGACCAAGATAGGAAAAAGATGAATTAATCTGGTATTATTAGGGCATGAAAAATAAAAATGAAATTCATTTTTAGAAATTGAGAATAATCAAGAACGAGTGTGTTTACCAAGATGAAGAGGAACAAGAAAGAGAAGGAGCGAGCCAATTGAGGACGCAACATTTCTGGAACAGATCTTCAAAGGGGAAAGTATTCAATTTGGAGATTGAGATGAGAATCCAGCAAGCAGATTCATCAACTGCGATTGGGGGAGTGGGTGACTGAGGAAGACGGGGAATCGACCGTTTTGACTCTACTTAGCAGTGTCAACTATGAACCTAACCCGTTTAAAACATATGGGTTAATTATTGACCCGTTTTACAAACATATTGAATTGTTCTAACTCATCTTAACAAATTAAATTTTGCCATGAAATAATACAACCATTTATAGATTATATTGTTGTTAAATCTATTCAATTTTGACTTAGAGCCCGCTTAGATTAGCTCAATTTAAGTAATAATAGATTTTAAGCACAGAGTGGTCGAAATGATTTTTTGAATAAGTTGTTGAATATGATTTTATAAATAAGCAATCGTATGTTTGGATAGAATTGTACTGTTAGATCTGAATATTGAAAAAAAAAGTATGTGTTGTTGAGGCGTTCGGAAAAAAAAGCTGAACTTTTTAGTCAAACAACATTGCACGCGAGGTGGTGAAAACGATGGGTGAAAAAGTAAGGTATGTGATGTTAATTTTGAAAAAAAAAAAGGAAAAACGTAATAGTAAGGGTTTATGGTACACACTTTTTGCTAAGATTTGATGTTACACCCCACGTTTTCGTACGGGAAAGTACGTCGTAAGTCAATTGATGTAAGTGTATAAATGAGATCATCTTTGAAAGTGCATAAAGTAAGTTAATCCTGTTGTCGTGGAGGTTACAAATATTTAAGATAATGAATATCAAGTATCAAGAGAGTTGGAAGGTTTAAAAGCTAAACGAATTGAAGAAAATAAGTTTCGTCAAAAGTCGACAACTTGAGAATATTATAACATGTACTTTTGGGGTGAGGCTAGGGTTCTTAACATTATAAGGAGGTTATGTTATGAGTTATTTTAGTCGTATCATAGTCGTGTGTTATGTTTCGAAGTCAAGCGAGTTGTTGACCAAAAATTGGTAAAGGTCATCACAAGTTATATTTGTAAATATGCTGAAAATTAGGTCAAATATAGATGAGCTTTTCTCCCAATATACTTAGTGTTACGGGGTGATTCACCTATCAAATTGAATATCTACGAGTCTAGTTTCCAACGCATTAAACCGTTTGTCAATACGACATCGGAGTAGAGATATATTTACGTTTTTGCGAGATTGCGCAGACTGAATAGGTGACAAATAGGTCTTCCCACCTACTTGCTTAAATGAAAGGACTAAATATATCCAAAAAGGGGCTAGTTAGGGTCAACCAAAGAGCCTTTTTAAGGGCTGATTTCATTCATATATTTCACTCAGCAAACTTTTTTCAAAAAATTAACACAAAACCCTAAATAATTTTTTATTCTTTTCAAATTCTAGTTGGAGGAAAACCTAAGAGCTGAAAAACCAAGTTAGGAGCTGAAATCTTCACCAATTAAGGTAGGTATACTGCCCTTTTCATCCATTTTTTATGCTGGAAAGGTAGATAAATTCGTTTTATAATTGTAAGAACTCACAGGACAATGATCGAAAGTCATGAGTTCGAGTTGTTCAACTTGTAGTGGACTATTTTTTGGGTTGTTTCATATTGTTGTTGAGTTCTCTTTTTTGCTACTATTTTTATGGAGTTTAGGATGAGAAAGAATGTGGGAAAATACCACATAATGGCAGGGTGGTTGGCTGGTTATTCGTCGTTACATTTTTAGGTTATTTGACACTACTAGAGTTGTTGTTTTGTGTATGAAGTGATTGGGGTGTGTAGGCTTTTTTGTGGTATTTTGTGATGGATATAAGATTAGAAAATGATGTATACATGTTGTTATTATTGTGTCCCTATTGTTGTTGGTATTATGTCAAATTGGGAGGAAGTAAAGATTATAGGGGAGAGGCTGCCCATTTAATTACAAAATATGTTTGTCGTTCGTTGTGCGATTTCCGTAACTTAATGATAGTATTGTTATCATTGTTGTAGGTTAAGGTGCGACGAGACGCGTTCACGTGGTTATTGGACATATTTTGATAAGGTACGTTAAGGCTAAATTGTTCCTTTATTTTGGCATGATCCCGTAACTACATGTATTTAATAACGAGACATAAAGAGAAGTTCGTACTCCTGAATTTATGTATATTATCCTAGTCTCATAAGTTACGGTTGTAACGCCTCGTAAAATTCTACCTAAAAACCTGAAACTTCGTGGTGCCGAGTCAGGCTTATGTGTCAAAGATTGTTCAGATTCTTTGCGGCGAGCTTGCGAGTCGCGGTACGAACTTTTTGGGTGGAGCAATGTGTTGGAGAGCTAAAGCAAATTTTCGGAAGTTCAAGGTATTTTGTGAGGCCAATTTGGAGACCGCAGAACTGATATGTGGATCGCAGATCTGTCGCGAAGTGAAGCAGAGATTTGAGTTAATTTTTGGACCAAATATGCGTACCTTTATGCGGTCGCATAATCATTTTGCGGACCACATAAACCATCGCAAATCCCCACATAGAAATTCCCGAAGGGGTATTCTGCGGCGCATTATGCTACAGCAAACCGGTCGCAGACTGAAGCAGAAAAATTCTAGTACTGAGGGCCATTATGCGGCCTATTCTGCGAACAACAGATGCATTGTGCGGTCGCATATGCGATAGCAGATTCGAGTTGGAGCTCCTATTTTTCTAAATTTTGAACTCGACCCATCCTAATATAACACCTCTAAGCTTCATTTTAGAAGGAAAAATCAGATGTTTCCAGAGAGAGGGAGTGGCCTAGAGTGAGAAAGGGAAATTCCTAAACCTTACCCACAAATTCCTACTCAAATCTTGGAAGATTATCAAGTAAAGTTCACTAAGTCTTCATCTTAAAAGTAAGAATCTATGCCTAACTCTTAATTTCGAAATTTCTACTAAAAATGGGTAATTAGCAAAACCATCCTTGGGTAAGAGAGTTGTTATCTTGCATGCATGTGTGATGAAAGAGAGTAGGAGGATTGTGAGCTAAAAATAGTAAAGGATATGGTGTGGGATGATGGAATCTTTCACAAAGGGATCTTAAAAACATATTGCACACCTAGTGTTTGATAATATGCTCAAATGAGCTAGAATCATGATCACCTTTCTAATTATTGGTTTAACTTGCTATATTCCTAAAATAGATTGAAACTGCTAAGAGTTCCAGAATATAGTAGAATTTAAGGAAGCTCTATTGAAATGGCTAAAAACCCATTCTCTTAGAATTGAATCTCATGGTGTTCGTGCATTCGGTGTAAGTCATGAATTGATCGTTATACAAATTGGTATTCGAATGTGCTTGAGTTGAAAAATATATGTGCAATATGTATTCCAATGCTTTCGTCATGTTATCTTATTATTTGAGGATGTATTCAAAATATGGAATATGTGCTGAAAAAATGCCTAGACTTCAAGTCAAAGTCGAATAAAGATTGTTATGCCATATTGGATGAAAAGCCTCTATGTGCCTTAGATTCTAAATTGCTTATGTGAGCTTAAACTTTTTGAGAAGAAATGCCTTATTGTTGGAAATCTATGATGATTTTTGAAAGCAAAAATCTGAAATACGAGATACAAAACGAGATATACTGAAAGTGAAATATGAAATGCAAAATATGAAATACGGCCAAGTGCCAAGAATAACTTAATAAATGAGGCCACTCATGCCAATATATTGAAATATGGGAAAGAAATCTGAATTGAGATGATTGATTAAAGGTTGATGTCTCAAGTGAGATGGTCTAGCCGATCGGGCCGTGATCGGACACCATATCGCACATGGTGGTAACTGTGTTGGAAATGATTACTTGAAATTGGGAATATAGTTGATGTCTCAAATAAGACAAGAGGATTTGCTCTGATGGTAAGCAACCCCCACTTCCAACCAAGAGGTTGTGAGTTTGAGTCACCCCAAGAGCAAGGTGGGGAGTTCTTGGTGGGAAGGATGCCGGAGGTCTATTTGGAAATAGCCTTTCTACCCATGGTAGGGGTAAGGTCTGCGTACACACTACCCTCCCCAGACCCCACTAGTGGGATTATATTGGGTTGTTGTTGTTGTTGATGTCTCAAATGAGATGACCTAGACGATGGGGCCAAGATCGGACTCCGTGTAAGAATACGGTGGTATTGTGGATTGTTGCGTATGACACTAAAAATTACCCATCTTATTAACATGAAAATTGTCTATATGAATCCTTACTTGATGTTTTAGTATTGCTTGAAGCTCTTATTGAACTCATGATTGTTTTTCCCCTTGTATCATTAATCATTCTATTGATATGGTATTTTAGCTTTACACACTAGTACTATTCGACAGTACCAATGTCCCTTTTGCCGGGTGCGCTACATCTTTAAATGGATGTAGGTGGTTCAATAGCAGACATTGTTGATCACAGCTAGTGGTGCATCCTCCTCTCAGCAGTCTTGGTGAGCCCCATTTCATTTCGGGGTTATTCATCTTTTGTCCTTAATGTATTGTACTTGAGGTATAGCCGTGACCTTATTGTCGGCACTTTTGTAGTACTCTTTTGTATCCATTTAGAGGCTCCGTAGACACTATGTGGGTTGTATATGGGTGTTAGGATGGTCACTGGATTATGTTATGCTTATTCTATTGTTCCACTCAATCATAAGAATGTANGGGTCCACTCGGTTGAGCACCTGTCGCGCTCCCCGAGGTTGGGGCATGACAACAGTATTCTCCCTTATCGAACTTTATATTCAATTAAGTATTGTCTTCTTCTAGTCAAGAGAGTAGAAGGTCTATATATGTATATACTTACAATATTTTCACCACCATCGAGTTGTAATCGATGGGCAGACCCCTATTGGACACCCTCTGATCAGATGGTAAGTTATATACCGAGTCTACTATGGCAACACCTATGAGCGAACCTAGAATGACCGAGATATAGAGCCTAGTATGGCCAAACGCTTATGAGCGAGCCTAGAATGGCTGAGATACAGAGTCTAGTATGGCGAAACGCCTATGAGCGAGCCTACTATGACAGAGCAGTTATACGTACCGAGCTTATAGGGCTGGACATCTATTTTACTTACTATATTGAGAGAGTTGAGTCAGTATTAACAGGTAAGCATATCTTTAGATCATCTTTGACTCTCAGTTACTTTCA